CGGTCTGTTTGTCAGGAAGTCCAATATCCAATTGCGGAGGGAGGGGTCGATGTCCAGGTCATGCAGTTTGGTGATCAGTGTGGAGGGGACAATGGTGTTGAACGCTGAGCTAAAGTCAATGAACAGTATTCTTACATAAGAGTTATTTTTGTCAAGGTGGGAGAGGGTGGAGTAAAGTGCCGTGGAAATGGCATCCTCTGTACTCCTGTTCTGGCAGTTGGCAAACTGAAAGGGGTCTAGTGAGGGTGATAGATGGTTTTTGATCCGAGCCTGGACCAGCCTCTCGAAGCACTTCATGATGATGGGGGTAAGTGCGAATGGGCGGAAGTCATTTAGGCTCTTGGCAGAGGAGGGTTTAGGCACCGGCACGATGGTGGTGGATTTCGGGACAACTGCTTGGGCTAGTGACAGGTTGAAAATGTCAGTTCAGACCTCAGTCAGCTGCTCAGCACAGGCCCTGTAGATGCGTCTGGGGACGCCATCCAGGCCAGCTGCCTTGCATGGATTAATCCTGCTCAGCACTGAAAACACTTCGGCGGGGGAAAGTGTGAAGGGCTGGTGGCCTGCAGGGAGCACCTCCTTGATGGCCACCTCTTTGTTTTCCCTGTCAAAGCGCCCATAGAAGACATTGAGCTCTTCAGGTAGGAAGGCGTCACTGGGTGGGGGGTTGACGTTGGCAGGTTTGTAATCCGCGATGGCCTGTATGCCTTGCCACATGCGTCGGGTCGGAGTTAATGAAGTGCTCCTCAATCCTCAGCTTGTAACTGTGCTTGGCCTCAGAGATGCCCCTCGACAGATTAGCCCTGGCTGAGATGTAGGCCCGAGGGTCACCAGATCTGAAGGCGATGTTGTGTGCCTTCAGCAGGACTCGGACCTCCTTGTTCATCCACGGCTTCTGGTTAGGGAATGTAGTGATCCTTTTCAGTGTGGTGACACTCTCTATGTATGTGTGCTTCAAAATTAACTTCTGGATTCATTATTTTTGCATTTCCAATAACATTAAAATGGGATTTTAGACCATTTTAAATTCAGTACTAAGTTACACACTCACTGTTTACCTCTACAGTGTTAGATTTGCTTTTTTTAACGTCATCTTTAGGTTGTATCTGAGGCTTGACTTCTGTTTGGTGTCTCCTTGAAGAATTTGCTGTGCTAGCATGAACCAGATTATTACATGCATGCTTTAGTCCGTGCATACTGAGCCAAAATATTGTGGCTGTGTGGCTCCAAACATGGAGGTTTGCAGTCATTACTAACCTCGTGATTTGAAAGCCAAACCTAAAATATGCTTTTGTATATTCAAGGCAAGATTTGCAACTTTCCCAAATTGCTCTATGTCAAAATGAATTATATGGGAACATTAACTCAAAACATCTGGATGTAAAAAAATATATATTTTAGGTATAAGTGTTTCAGTTAAATAGTTAGATAAACAGATTTCATACATGACACGATGCCTCGCTGAACCAATCCAACTGTTTTTATTTATGTTGTGCCAATAAAAAAAACTTCTCAAAAGCTTAACAACATACTCTTTATCATATCTTTCAGAGAGATGCAATAAAGAAGAACATACTCACTGATTATTTGGATGTCACGTAAGAGCTTTTAGACCACGCTCATTCTGTGTCAGTTTACATGCAATGTGAAGCTACGGGCTAACTAACGCGTGCTAACATTAGCCTGCTAACACAACAATGCAGGCCACAGGTGATTGCAGCTCGAGCAAAGGACAACTTTGTCTGCCTCAATGGTGCTTAATTATGGTGCTATCTTAAATGATAACTCCTTTGTGTGAACGCGAGCAGAGAGGGGTTGGAGGTGTGTCACTTTAGGAGAGGGGAGGATTCAGTATGGAGGAGGTGTGGCCAAACAGAAGTTTGTTTTGGTTTTATGCTGGTGCTCAAGGGCGACATCTATCATATCAAAAAATTCTTCCTTTAACTGACAGAAACCTTGAACAGAACCAGACTCTAGGTGGACTTACATCTGCCTCAGTGGTCGCAAGATTTGATGAGTATAAATTTTGTAAAATATAAATCTTTCCACAGTTCAGGAGTGTGGAAAGAAGATCAGTCAGGGAGGATTGAAGCTGTTCAGAAGGCTCACAGTGGAATAACAGTTCACTAACACAGTTTACATTGTTTGTTTTTCCTCTCATTTGTCTCCAGCCTGCAGCTTCAGTGAAGTCCTGGAATAAGAACGTCCAGATCTCCTGTGGTATGTGATGATGTAATCAAATATGAGAGCTAAATGATTTAGAAGTATTTATTTAAAGGGGGATTAGGAGCTTTGTTTGTTTCTGCTGTGTTGTATTCCCGCGGTTCTCAACTGGTCTAATCTCAGAACCCAACACTAACTCCTTCATCAACAAATGTATGATATTTTTCAAGCAATCACATTCATTTCATCAGAAATTGTACAGATTGGACCTCAGACAGAACAAAACAAACACATTTAAAATGTTCTACACAGACTCTTTCACCTCTTTTTTTTCCCCCAGGCACACATTTTTGACGCCCTGGAAATGGCTCAGCGACCCACTTTTGGGTCCCCACCCACCAGTTGAGAACAACTGACCATTTAGCCCATGCTAACACCTTATTAACACTAAATCAACATACAATGTGTTGTAATGCTTTTCATGTTTGTTAATATGACTTTATGATGATACTGAAACAAAGTTCCATCATGTCTTTCGGTCCCTCAAGGCTTTTGTTGTCATTTCAGATTCTGATTCCAGATGCAACTGAATGGAAAGTTTTCATTTTATGAGTCATATGATTAAAATCAATCTGTGGAATCTACGACTTCCTATAACCTTGCCTTCCCCCTCATCCCACTTCACCCAGCAGATGAAATGCATCAATCATTTTGCTCCTGTTGACCAAACCCCCTCTCTGTCAGTCATTAACTCTGTGCAGTCATAAGACCTGTGCTGTCACATCCTGCCCTGATTGTACATTTCTCAATGTTTCATTCACATTGCCCTCATGCCTGCCATAACACTTGTTGGTTTTGTCGTGCAGGGACTTTAATGATTGACTTCTTCAGGGATTATTGGGTCAGAAAAGCTCGGTCAAGGACACAGAACCACGGACAGTAGAAATGATCGCACACTCACACACACACACACACACACACACACACACAAACTGAATAACATGAATCTTTTCAGACACTCCAGAGCATCATTTTATTGTGTCGTGTTGTTTTTATCAAGTGATGCTGAAGTAAATAAAGACAAAGCTTGTACACTGACTGCAGGAATTTACCAGTCACAACCAGTCACAACAAGCCAAATATGTATCTCATCCACAGATAAGATATGTTTCAATTGTAATTTACAGAGAACAAACATGGAAGAAATACAAATCACTTGACGAAGACTACAAGCATCTAGACATTAAATACACAATGAGAAGAAGAAAATGTACTTCATTAATCCCACATGGGGAAATTAAATTTTACTCTCTGTTGTTGAACATGCTACACTCAGGCTGAAATACACACATATGCACTAATGGAGAGATGTCAGAGTGAGGAGGCTCTCCACAGAAGGAGGTTTGGTGCCTTGCTTGAGGGAACCTCAGCAGTGCTCTGATAGTGAACTGGCACCTCTCTAGCTACCAGACCAATTTCCAGATTTGGCTCGCACCGGGACTTGAACCAGCGACCCTCAGGTTCCCAATACAAGGCCCTACAGACAGCAAAAAAACTTTCATTTATGTGTTGTGTCTGTTTTAAATTATAAAAAAAAAATCTCAGTAATAACATGACCGTTTAGAAATCACAACTAAATGCCTGTTAAAATGCTGTAATACTGTTTCTGCTTTACATTATGTATTTATTCTAATTTAATAATAATTGTTTTTTAATGGTTATACAGCTGCAGCCACAGAGCTCTTCAGCCTTCTGGTGTTTAAAATGTGACAATTAAAGTTTGGTGTCCCCTTTAACACATCTGAGCAGAAGGACTGTATTTTGAGGTATAGACAAGTAGATAAAGACAATATGATAACACTCAGTCTCTTGCAGGTTCAGAAGAATAATTCATATATGAACTTAGTAATGTTTAACCAATGAGGTGCTGACTTTAAAAAAAAAAACATGCATAATTGAGGACTAATTATAAATTATAAGTTATTTTTTTTAAATGTTAAAATGCCTGATCAGTAGGAATTTAACTTGAAATCGATCTGCCTGTGACTTAGTGGTTTTGTTGTGCACCCCATGTGCGGAGGCTATGGTCCTCGTTGCAGTGGCCGTAGGTTCGGGTCCGGCCTCGACCCTTTGCTGCATGTCATCCCATACGCTCTGCTCCCCCGGTGTTTTTCAGTGTCTCTTCAGCTGTCAAAAATGCCCAAAAAAATCTGCCTCTGTGTTGATTTGTGATCTGCTAAATGGTCCGATAGCTTTAGGATTAATTGCTTGTCGATTTTAAATAAAGTAACCTGGTTGAAATGACTTGCTGATGCTGACTTGTAAGGGTGTCATGAGAGTGTTCAGGTAATATTTTAATTGAGTTCAGCAACATAGGAAAGCATGTTTTATGAGCAGAGCCCCAGCTCTGGTGCAGAGGAAACCCTGTAACTGTGTTGAGTCTTGCTTGGGAATTCACATTTAAGCTACACTGTGTTTGTCATAGTTATCAGTATTATAAATAATATGCAGTTTGTAGAGTTTTTATATACGTTTTGTAAGTATTTACCAAATGAAACAACGTGTTCTTTGACAGTACAAGAGAAAGTTAGAACTATGTTTCTGTGTATATATTACAGTAACTAACAGGATGTGTACCTTCTACTCTAATGTTCTGTACAAGTGTTGATGAGTTCATTGTTGTATGATTGTAAAAATACACTGGAAACATTAACCTAGCATTCTTCTTGGTCCTTTTTCATTGGTGGTTTTCTTCTTGCAGCTAAGCGACGTGTGTATAAAACCTTCCTGCACGCACACAAAGCTATGCTCATTAAATCACACTCCTTACTCCGTCATGCTACAGTATAGTTCTTTATTTTACAGAGAGAAGGACATTGTTAAACAGTAACATTTGAACTACAGTTAAGACTTCCTTTCCTACCATAAGGTCACGTTGAAGGAGAGATAAATAGTCTTTGGCGACACACAGATATGAACATACAAAGATAACTTAAATACATAACTTTACTTAAATAGTTTGGCTAAATATAAATATGTTTTTTTTATAGGTGCACACGTCGTTCACAATCGTCCACATGGAGTGCACCGACATCTTCAAAACACATCTCAAAAGCAACATTTACAAGAGGAGCCTCGTCAAACTTACACAACTTCATCACGAGGGGAACTCTCGACACAAGCGTTTGCATTAAAGTGCTTTCCTGTAATCCTAAAGGAGATCGTGCGACTGCATTGACTATCTCACAAAACTAACAGAAATATTTTCACACGCCGAGTCTGTCTGCTCTCATTCCTCTTTTTCAAAGAGCGAGCCATGAAGACTCTGGCTGTTTCTACGGGGAGGTATTAGCGGTCGTGTTCACACAACTTTACGTGATACAACTTCTGAGAACACAAAAAAAAAACGTAGTGCGGGAGTCAGGCAGCACAATGGTCCAGAGAGCAGGTTAAACACAGCAGATACGTCTCCTGATAGGCTACGCACAGCAGCTCAAACACAGAATTAGCACAATTTGAAAAGTAGAAGAGATCCACCAGGGTTTTAGAGCGTTTCAAAAGTCTTTTAATGATCCGTCACGAGACATTGATTAGCTCCATTACAGCAGAGAGAATGGCATGTTTCACCTCAGCAAGCCTTTGAACAGATTAGGACTAAGGAATATTACCCTGTGACCTCCAGACCCTCCTAATGCTTACAGACACAAGAGAGTCCAGATTGTGGCTGAGAGACTAAATATAAGAAGAAACTGAATAAGACCCAAAGTAATACCAGATAAATATACAAGAATACATTTTCATAAGACGTAGACGTTTTTTTTCGTTTTGTCAAGTATTGCCAGGTATTTGGTGAGTTTAAACTAATGCGTCATGTGAAATTGCATGCACAATAACAAAGGCTAAAAACACTCATGTGACTGAACAAGTCATAATCAAAGCTGAACTGTGCACAAAATTCAGAAAGTGGGCCAACAGCTTGGCCTGATTTCCTACAATGAAATGCTCAACCACTCTTTTGCAAGCTACGCTCAGGCCAACAAATAGTAAAATCTTGGAATAGAAGAACAGAAGTATGTCAGTGATATGTAATATAATTGTGTTTCTCAACAAAAATGTACGTTTTATAGATGGGGCTGCATGTGTTTGGAAAGTATAAGGCCCGTCAAATTTTGAATTGCAGGGCTTGACCTCGGTTATTCTCGGCCTGTAATCCGCCCACCATTTCAGAGACGGACTAATTTAGAAAAAAGGAAATGTCAGGGCATGTATTTTTGATGGTGCTATTCTGTTCTGTGCACATTTATTTGAAATTGGGCACTCTAACACCTAACATTTTGGTCGCTGGGGTTTCTCATTAGAAACCCACAATGTAACAGCAGAGCTTTTAGCCGTCAGCTCAGGACTCATTTAAACCCCTTTAAACTAAATACATGTGAACAAAAAAGGTTCCTGAACAGACCTGTGCATAAACTATAATGTGTTGCCAATTATCCTTTTTCAAAACCCTTAATGTATTCTCTATCAGTGTATATTGCTATCCAACCTATCTCAAGACCATTTTCTTTTATTGGATGATTTGACATATTAGTGGATTCGCCAACATTAAAGGCTTTGTAATGACCTCCAATTGGTCAAAGAATGTGGGAAAATGATGCCCGGTAAAACATCATTTTGACTTGAGAATTTGAGAGGAGTATTGGGTTTCTTAAAATTATCTTAAAGAAAATTTCCCCAAACACATTCTACTTTCTTTTGCAGGCACTGTGCCATTCCCCCTTGGCTCTTCCTCTAGTTTTTCGTAATGCTTGTTATAAAAATCAAAAAACATATTACTTTGCATAGACAATAAACCAATGGTCTACTTTGCTTGATTGGTCCCATGCTATTGAGTATCCGCACTTTGTATTTATATTGTAGATGTAAGCAGAGTTTACTTTAAACCTTGAAGAGTGACTTCAAGCAAATGTCATAAACAAAAAAGCACTGAACAACAGCAACATTTCTTCACAGAACAAGAAATTCAAGTTAGACGAGGCTTTAAAAATAAAGAAAAAATATTTGTTTTCACTGATGCAACCAACCTCCAAGTATCTGAAAACTTAAAGATGTAACATTTCATTTTGTGAGTGTGGAAGCCACAGGCCTTACCCTTGATTTATTAATGTTGAATAGGTGGACCATGGAAGGCTCAGGAGCCCCCCTCCCCTGCTGTGAGAGTACATATGACTGAAGCGATAAGGTCGGGTTTATTAAACCACCACCAACCCTAAGTCCTGACTTGCGAGGGGAACTTATGAATCACGTGAAAGGGCTAATATTTCACACTTGACCTCTGGCAGGGAAAGCCAGAAGGGCAGCGACAGAGCCCAGATCCATGGCTCTCAGGTTCTCTTTGCGACCTGCTGTGTTGGCTGATGGGCCAATATAATGCAACACCGAAAGTGTTCCTTTGGGAAGTCAGTTTCTGTTCAGATTCCTTTTAGGGCCCTGGATGCTGACCCTCTTCCTTTTCATTTTTAGTTGGTGTGGTTAAGTCCTGACCCCAGAATGCACTTAAACTCGGGTGTAACCAAAGTGCTGTGGCTGGTTCTGACTGTAAACTTTGGTCCTGAAAAAAAAAGTCCTACTGAGTGATGAATTCCTGGTCCTACTGTAACTTTTTGGGATATTCCAAGGATTTCAGTGTTCAGATTGAACTTGCATGTGGAGTTGGGTACGACCTGGGAGTTCCAAGGCTGTCAATGAAGAGGGGCTCAACAAGAAGAGGTAAAAGAGTTCATTGGGTCATTTACCAGGTCTTTGGGAATACATTGGTTTTGACAGGGCTGGTCTGAGTGCAGAGTGAAATCCACATTAGGGGCTTAAGTGTTTGATAAATGAGCCGCGGGATAACCATCAATGGGGAGGTCAGTTGGCAGACAGGGCCAGGCCATTGGATGGTGTTGAGGACAAGCCTTCACTCTTACATTAACAGGATTAAGACGTCAAATGGAGGCCGTTTGGTTTCTTTTAGGAGTTCAGAGGGGAGAACTAGAAAAGACTGACATGACTTCCTTCAAAAGGCAAACGTTCTCAGCGTGGATAGAAAACTCCAATTTATCCTGAATTTGAATCTTCATGATTCTAAAAAGATATCCTTGAAAGGCAAGCGTTATAGGCTTTTGGGTATCAAGGTAGAGTCAGCCAGTCATTATTTGGAATTCATACCATACTATGTAAGATGTTGACATAGCTTTCCTCATAAGGCAGGTATTCTCAGGGTCAATGGCATACTCAAATATGTGCTTTTAAAGACGATTCAGTCAGTCATAATCTTTAACTTCAGTCTCCAAATCCATCAGTCGGCACAAAAAGCCAAAGAGACACATTTATGAGATTATAATTGTCATTTTGAAATAGATAAACAAATGGACTACATCAAACTCTAATGCAAAAACTAATAGTAATACGTTAAGAGATAAATAAATGAAAATATAGATAGACTTGCTATGGGTGTTTCAAATTGCCAAAACTCATCCATAACTATGGGGGCTCCTGGGGTTGATGGGGGACGAGTCTTCTCTGCCGCTCTGACCAATGAGCTGATAGAGTCGGTGGCTGAGGTTCTGCACTTGGCATGTTCCCAGGACACATCCCACTCTCATTAACTGGGCATGCTGGGGGTAGTGGTGACTGTTTCGTGATCCCGAATGGGTGTGGCGCCGAGCCCTGAGGGCCCTACGTTCAATTTTTGAAGAGTCAGCTGGTCTTGCCCATGCCAGGTTTGGTGAGGGTGGTCTTGCTCCTGAAGCGGGCTTCTGTGTCGGTAAACCAGGCATCCATTTTGGGGATTTGCTAGGTGCTTCGGAGGGGGCGACACTGGTAGTCTGGATTTCTGACGCTGAGGCCTCGTCCTCGCTCTGGTCGAAGAGCTTGTTGAGGAGGTCCAACCTAAAGAAGTAAAGGAGAGACCAGGTGAAAATTTGTCCTCTGTGTGTATATTAGTCAATCAGTAATACAAATGACCTTTAGCCATGCATATACCTGCCAACACGTCACTATAGCAACTCATTTCAGAAGTGTACAGGTAATTATGCAGAAATCAGATTAGCTGTACAAAGCAGCTTTGATAAACAAACTATTTTTGCCTGCTGTCTGAACACAGCGAGGCACTCTGAACAAAACCATACATGTGGACACTGTGTGCTTAGTCTCTTAATGCCAGACATAAAAGTTAATGGCTTTACACATCTTGACTAAGAAACCATGTGCATGTACGCAATCAAAACCTTCTCCATACTGCATTTATGGCCAGCTGGGTTTCAGCAGCACTATGGTAGATTTAGACCAGCCAGCAATGTCTCAAAAGTACTTAAGGGCTCCAGAGGAGTCCGATTATTTTGGTTATTTCCCTAAATGTTTTTTCGTTGACACAGATATTTGGAGCTGTGTTCAAAATTGCTCAAATATCACTTGCAGTGCTTGGACACTAAAAATATTTCATTTACATACTGTACATATAATCTCAAAAAATGAAATCCCATGAAAACAAAGCTTCAACAATCACTGAGTTCTACCACTGACATAGTTGGTTAGATACCTTGTGTTGATGTGTGACTTTGGTGTTTGAAATGGATTTGTCGGAAATACACAATTTTCTTTGATTTGGTGCATTTGCCACGGAAGTCTTTGTTGCGGGCATGACAGCCCTGTTTGCTATTAATTAGTAATATATATAATTAGTAATTCTATTCTATTCTATTCTATTAAGGCAACCTACTGTAGTAATCCCAGACCTTTTTTGTACCTGTTTGTCCCTTAGACCCTAAAATGAATACAAATATGAGTCTTGGTTAAAAAAATATTTCAGTAGTTTGGGTGTAAACTGGGTTTTGGAAACTGCACATTGAACTAAATGTCCTGTTGAGATGGGTCAGGTTCTGCGGTGCAGTGGACCAAAGACGGGTGTTCAGCAAACACAGTGCCGACCATCTTGCCATCTGTTTATTGTTTGAGGAAGACAGTCGATTCTCACAGCTCGACCCTGCAGCTCTTCCCTGAACCATCACTTCTGTGTTTGTACAGCAGCACGGTGTGGCTCACGTCCCTGAGTGTTTTCCCATCACCATGGCTCAATGTCAAGGAGAAGCAAACAGAAAAGTGCTGATGTACCTTGAGGCAAGTGGATAAATTGGATCAAATAACATTCTGTCATGTTAGCTTTGTGGCAAGTGCAGAGACTAAAGTCCTCCAAGCGGGTTGCTCGGGTTTGAATACGACTAGTGGCTCCTTTTCAGCATGTTATCCATCTCTCTCTCTCTCTCTCTCCCCAATTTCTGACTCTATCCACTGTCCTGTCTCTACATAAATGCTTAAAAAGCCAAAAAATAAACCTCTTAAAAAAAGACTAAATTCTAGCTTTAACATCCCCTTTCAGGAGAAATACATCTGTTGTTGGGTCTTCTGAGTCTTTGGAAAAAATCTTCCACTACATCAGCTTGGCACTATTTTTTCCATTTTCCTGAAGGGAGAAGCCACAGTGTATTTAATTATAAACACATGTTCCACTTGTGAAGTGCTGACTTGTGTTATATCATTTGAACCTCAGTCTTTTACTTATGATGAGAGCGAGGTTGCTATGTGAGACATCAATGCAGCAGGCTTTTTTCAGAAAGCCTGTTCTTTGGTGGGTTTGGGATTCCTCTGTGAAATGTGAAGCTTTGGGTTTGTTTCAAACCAGTTCTGCAGCTGCTGGCTCTTTGCAGGCAGGTCCGGTAGCCTGTAAATGACCCGCTGTGCAACAGTGGCTGAATAAATAGTTGCATAACGCCTGACCATAGACAGAGGCCAGCGCTTTTTCCAGGACAGGCTCATTGTGCCGTGATGCCACATCACCATGTTACACCCACCTGGGCTGCAGTCAGATTTGGCTGCACAGTTCATGACTCACATGGCAGCAGTATCAAACTGTTGTCTTTTTTTGCATCTGTATGCAACACCCACAAGCAAAATAACCAAATGGCTCGCTGTGAACACAGTCTGGTTTTAACATGATCCAAAATATGATCTAAAAAAAGTCAGAATCAAACAATATGAACATTTATTTAGATACCCGGCAATTTAAAAATAGATGGTCTAGGCTTCCAATAGTAGGTTAGTTCTTGTTTTACCTTTTCAAGCAAACTCCTGCACACTGTCTAAATTGCACAAATATGTTGTCGACCTATTGGTGTAATTTGGAAAACATTTTTTAAGGTTTTGCTTGCAATTGTTTTATGTATTCATTCCTCTTTTTAGCAAGTGTGTTATGATATAGAAGTAGCTTTTTAAAACTTCTGTACTTTTCGATACTATCATTAAAATAATGTAGATTGTACGTTTGTATTCTAATCTATTTGGACTTTATCTATTTAACACAGAATTGTAATTGATAGTATTAATTTTTTGTAACTTGTAACTTGGAGCTCAACATTTTATAACAAGAGCAAAAGAAACCCATCCTTTTCATCCTCTTAGCGAGATTAGTCCAGAAGACAACCCTAGAGTTTAAAGTCACCCTTGTTATCCGCCAGTACTAAATACATAGTACATATACTGGATTTTAAAAAAGTGTTCCCGGCAACTGAGACTGTATTTGGCTTTAAGACTACCTTTTTAAAGTTTGGCACTTTGGCTGTTGCCATCTTGGCATTTTGGATCCAATGCACATTCCTACGCCTCTATCCTGTTTGAGAGGTTGTCTTGGAACCTACTGGTCAACCACAATGAGACTTCAAACTAGCGTCTGAAACCATTAACTCTTTAGAAAAATGGTAAGGTAACAGAGGTTACAACTGAAGAGAGAAGTAGGATCATTCTCTGGAAGACTTCTATACGCTCATACTTCTTTGGAAAAACTGCAGGTTTAGGATTTATCTGGCTACTAAGAGGCTGTCTACTTTAATACCAGCCTATGATGACATAGATATCCTTTAGTTGGTCATAGAGTATGAATTATGACAACAGGTTAATTCCCACACCAGAAATACTAAGCTTTTTGGCCTCAGAGGTTCTGAAACCCCCGGTGGAGTTGCCCCCTTTGTCGAGTCAGTAATCTATCTTGGTTTATACAGTATAGGGGATTAAGTTGTAAACCCTATAAAGAACAAACTGTAACGTAAAACAAGCTGTACCTTGGCTGTCCATGACACCAATGCTTTGACTTCCCTGTGCCTACCTGGCTCGAGTGTCATTCAATCTTTAAGAGATGATGCTTCGTTTACCATAAAACACTGCACAACAAACTATAACATTTCTTCCATCTTCACAAAGGACTTTTTCATTGAATGATGGCATCTTGTGAATTCCACAGTGCCAGAAAACAACTGGATAGTAACTGAAAGTCTTAGAAACGAGAATCACAACATTTTCTACATAAAAGGTTCAATGGGTTTGTGCCTTTTTTGTTTATCAAGGTTTCCAATGCAAAGTTCTTCTTTCGTATCTCAAGTGAAGCTTTTTCCCTTCAATTAAGTTCACACATGTCACATTCTAAGAACAGCATTTCTCTAAGAGCACACTGCCGAACTGAAATGTCATTTTTTATGACAATGCCTGTCTGAAGAATTTGCAATGGATCGTTGAGCGAAAGGCCAAACCGTGAGTCAGCATGCCCAGAAGCAGCTCCAGTTACATCCTGTCTGAAAAGACTTTTAGGTTTCTTGCAGAAGTTTAAAGGATGATGCAGAAGAGAACTTATTCACTCAGTCACGTTTGATCCCACAAAAGAGGCTAATTTGGCTTTTAGCGTTGTGATCCTAAAACTCAACAGGAATGGAAATCTCCACAGCTGGCAGCCGATCAAAGATGTCCGAGCTACTTTGTCTTTCATTGTTGAGCTGACTGGGATTTGACACCTTGCATGGTCTAAGCTTAAGCTTTGAACTAAAATTCCTGATAATTGAAGATGATTTTTCTGGTTTCATAGTTTGGAAAATGTCGGATCCCTTTCACGCTTCCTTGTTTGTTTGTTTTTTCTCACCACATTGACCAAAGCATGAGCGGCCCTTGTACTTGTAAGCCCTTGGAAAGTTTCAGAACTTATTGGATTGGATTACCAAAGCCTTTTAACGACCCAACAAGTACTACTCTCTCCACACTCCCGACCCTAACCTGCAGAGGGCGAACCCAATCGTAGGTACTATTTTTGCTGATACACTACCTGATTATCAGCAAGGCCAAAGCTAGCTTACCTAGGCAGCCTTAATTAGCAGTAAAAATGGCACATAGATTTGTAATCCCCCTCTAGGTAACAGTAGAGAGATTGTTGTGAACAGGAAGCTGGACGAAAATAGAAAGGAAAGGTGATTTATTCAACACAAAACACTGGTCCCAATTGTTTGCGGGCATCTCCGATTTCATAACCTCCTCAGTGGGATGTGAGTTTCTTTATGCAAGCAATACCGGACATGCTTACTGTACTGCAGCTAGTAAATTGTATATAAAGGATGCCAATAGAAAACTATGCGTCTGCTCTTAAACCACATCAATGCAAGCGAGTAGACAAAATATTTCCAGTCCAACAACAGATGAAATAAGGTTTCTTTTTTCCTTAGGGGCTGTCTTTGTTTCACTGAAGCTTTTATGTGTCACATCTCCCACTATAAGGCATTATTTTTATATACATGTATACTGAGGGAGAGACAGTAAAATACTGTATTTTATAAACTGCATCCAGATTGATGTGGCTTTCTGTGCAGAGTGGAAACTTGCTCTTTATGGATGTGGAGGATGGGATTTAGGTCTTAGCCATTAATCCACAGAGGAATTCTCTGCCTGCTTGGTACAGTAGCAGCTCCTCCTCGCCCTCCTCAGCTTCAGCCTTGGTATGATCAGATTGACCGCTAACGAGCTATACCAATGTTTACACTCACTGTACATATATCTCTGAGCAGCCCAAAGCCACATTTCCTGTTTACAATATGCAACAAATTTAAAAAAGTTATACAGAGAGAGACCTCTCTTAAAATGATTTAATGCAGAGGAAATCCTAGTTCAAAATCATTCTGCAAGTGCTTCTCTGAGAATGTACACGCGATCAAGAGTGGGAGAGTAATGTTCTTGTTGTTCTTGATAAGACGAAAACATGTCAGAATATAGATAGCGAATCACGAGCACGGATCTAAAGGTTACTGCATGTGCCAAGTGGCTGAACAAACATCAACAAGTCAGGAAGCCGCCCTGCGTGAGGTGGATTCAGTCTGTTTTTCAGGTAAATATCATGATAAGAGCGTCTGACGTTAGAGGCCCACGCAGTTCAAATCCAGGCTTACAACAGCAGGTTAATGTATAACTGATTATTTTCGGGGAAAAACATGACTTGATTTGACCTTGAAATAGTTGGACCACGCTTGTCCTTACATCAACATCCAGTGACTTGTCATGTCATCGTACCCTGATCCAGACCGAGCGGAGGCCCAGTTGGTCAATGCAACAAAAGCTTGACCACAAACAGGCTTTACATGTCTTTCGTCTCGAAGCAATGAGTCGTTTCCACTTCTGGAATCTGTATTGTAAAGCCAGCTTATTTGCTAAAGCCATATTTAACTTGTTGTTTGGCTGCGGACCCCGGCTATTTTTCCCTTACAACAAACAAACCACAAGACGTTATGTAAAAGGGACAATGAAGGGTATGCATTGCATGTGATCCCCAAGAACATGCAATTTCTCCTTGTTTGGAAAGCACCCCCGTCAGCCATTTTTACAGCGTCTGAGCGGGATTTTGCCGTGTCCTTATCAGGACACTTCAGGACAACATGGACACAAATACAGAACAGAGAGGGAATGACAGACAACAGAGCTCAGACAGGGACAAAAAATGTAAAGTAGTCATGTATATTATCAAGCTGTCAGCATCTGATGGAAGCAGAACAGGATGTACTGTATAGAGTTAAGAGCAGAGTTAACCGTACTAATAAAAGTCAGATGAGACTTTTATGAGTGATGAAGGAAATACGGCTCGTTGGGAAAAGTGAAGAAAGGAGGAAACTCTCATACTGTGTCGTCAGAGTCAAATATATTCGTAAAGACTGAGATCAGCTACAGTGGGTAAAGGTCTGTAGTAAATGTCATGACCCAAACCAGAGGCCCTCGGGGAGTTTACCTACATGCTCAACAATCCTGTAATATCTGGAAAGAAGCGGCTTCAGGCACATCTTTTTTTTTTACCAGAATCCCACTGTGACATCACAAGGAGAGCAAATTTGAAACAGAGCATTTTTCTCTGTGTTGTAAGACTTATACAGACCACAAACAAAGGACTGGATGGGTTTATTTCACATTTAGGTCAGTACACACTCAGGTTACCCAAATATGAAAAACACTGTAAAAGTGAATTTTTCATAATATGTCCCCTTTAAATAATGACGTCTCTTCAGTCATATTTTAACCCAAAGCTGCAGTGAGAGAAAGACAGAGAGCAGAGGCAGGTAATGGTGATCACAATGACTTTAGAGTCACTCAGAGCATTTTCAGTGTAGATTACTTTTTTAAGTGTCAAAGCAAAAGGACAGTAAAGACAAGCTCATGAAATGTGAAAGTGATAGAGGCTGGGTAGTTCTTCATGTTGTTGGAGTGCTGAGATACAGACATGCTAACAAACTGCTGCACGCTCCTCTGACACAGAGATCTAAAAACCACAGACGTGACTCATTCTAATAACGCTAACACTTTCACACAGTGAGGAATGATGGGGGATTAATCTGCAGGGCTGGGCAGGTTTTAGCGTAGGAGGACGGGAGCCACACGATCACTGAGCTGCTGCCAAGTTTGGTCATAGGTTAGATTACTGCGACAGGTCTTCACCATTTGAACACACAGATGCAGGAGATGAAAAATCAACTCTTGCATCACACTGTAACACAGGACCTATCGGCACAGCCCAAGCAGAGGGTAGATGATATTTCAGGAGACAGGAGTGTTGTTTTTACTTTCTCTTTTTCCTTTTTTCTGTTGAACTGAAGACAGAAAGGGATGCAAACATGTATTTCCCTGCACCGCAGCTAATAATTCCCAGTGTCCCATTTTACAAGTTTCTCTCACAAATTGCAGATATGTTTGAGCGGCTAAATCTCAATGCATGGCAGTGCATGGTCTGATGTTTCTTATTAGTAAGACCTGTCATTATGAGTGAGAGAGGAATGATCACATGAAGGAGCTTGCTTTTGCAGATTTGGTCAAATGGGCCCCTGCTTAAAATCAACTTTCTTCAATCAATTGTTTGTGCATGCAAACCTTCCCTCTCTTTTCCTCAAATTATTTTCATCCTCTTTGGTGTCCATTATCTCAAAGAGGTAAAAAAAAAAAAAGCCTTTGCTCTGAACTTGAAGATGCAGCTGGACAAGATAAGTTGTCAAAAATGGTCATGATTTTACTTCCCGGGCCCCACTTTGTGTTCCTAAGTCTTCCTATCTTCCAGTGATCTCACTGATCCAGCAGCTGTGGATCCAAACGCCACCAGAAGAGGGCGCCCACACACCAACTCATCCAAATTCCTCACTGCTCCTTAACAATGAAATACTACACACATATTGCATCGCCAGCAACCCTCCAGCACACACATCACAGCTGAATAACTGTCACTGTACAGTGTGCGTGTGTGTGTGTGTGTGTGTGTGTGTGTGTGTGTGTGTGTGTAACTGTTAGTAATCAAACTGGTTGTTGTGCAGTTACCTCATAATTTAATTAGAGATTTGTGAGTAAAACCTCTAACACCTAAGGTGTGGAAAAGTACAAGTTGCCACTCTTAACAAGAGCCTTTACAATGAGACCATGCTGGTATTTCTTGCTGTGCTATTCACGAGGGACAAACTGGTTTTCCCACCTCGGGAATTACAGTTTTCCACATAGACTCACAGGGAGATTAAACAAAAACGAGACCTCCAGAAATAGTAACTCGTGACCGGTGTTTGGTTTCGAGAGGAGGAATAAAGAGAGAAAGAAATGACGGAATAGCCGATTGTGTTTACAAAGTTAAGTAAATAGTAGTTGAATTGTTCAGAGGGCAAACTGTGTGATGCAATTAATCTGATTTATGACATAGTCTACACATACTGGAAAAGTACAAGTACAGTATGCGTCAAATTGACTGATCTCTCTGATTTCACACTTTTATTCCCAATGTAGCTAAATAATCTGCATGACCTCATGATGAGCTTTAAACTTTAACCTACTTTACAAGTCTTAGGAAATAAAGCTACAACAACTTCTAACTCTTACAAACATTGTTAAGATATGTTATTAAAAACTAGAATCGTAAAACAGGGTCTTTGTAGCCTTTTTTAAAGTTATCTAAAAGGTTTTAAAAAGCAATGTTCACACTGTCCCTTTCCCACAGCTGGCCTACTCTGCAGCGAGAATCTTCTCAAGGAGAGATAAAGTCATTGTATCATGAAAGAGCCTTTGACCTTGCAGTTAACACTATCGTTTTGACAGAACAATACAGCACTTTCACTTCTTTTACACACAGTACACACTGCTGGGATTTTATTGCACAGGCTACGTGCTAAAACGAATCAACCTTAGCTAACTGGCTGAATAAAAACTAAACATGTGACTTTAAATGATATGCTAGAGAAGTAGTTATAAATTAAGGAAGGATAATGTCAAATTAGTTTTATTTTATACTAATGGGGTATTTAAACAAAGCAAAAGCTCAGTTATGAAGTAAATACATTTAGAGAAACTGGTTCCCTTGAGGCAGGGGGCAAATAATTAAGCTAACGAATGTTTTCTAGCTAACGTGAACTGGCATTAGCGCTTTTAAAAGTGTTTTATTACAGTTTTAGGAAGCATAAAGTCATTATCTGTGAATTGCAACAATGCAAAAATTCAATTCAAAGTTAAGTAGTTAAAGTTAAATTAGTCCACTTATGACAAAAGGATAATTAAGATAACAAAGGTTTTGCAGCTAACATGACCTGACATATCTTATTTTGTGGCGAACATGAAAAGTTCAAGATAGTTTTTGAGGGCATAAAGTCATTTTTTGTGTGCATTCACAACAGCTGTGTATATTAATTAAGAAAAAGCTAATTTAAGGTAAATAAATCTTCAGGAATTAGTCCCCTAGAACCTGGAACAAAGGATTAATCAGCTAACGAAAGTAATTTTTTAGCAGACTTTCAGGTGCACTGTGGAGTTTTGGTAGAGCAATGGAGAAGTGTACAGATTCTGTGGTATATTCATAACTCTATACCCAAACTGTCCCCCAAGGAAATTTGGTCCCTTGAACTGTTTAAAGATAAAATGTTACGTGAGAAGTTGTGGTGGGGGGCCGCAGCAGTGTAAGCGTTTCACTTCTCCAACTTTCAAATTTCACCACCAAATCTACATAGTGCACCTTTAATGTCATATAAAGAGATGTAGGCTATAACACGTCCTTTGAACTTAATTGCGCTAATTGTACTTATGGACATTAAAACATGTTTGTAAACCCTAAAATGCCAGACAATATAAGCACTGGTAGAACCCGGTGGCGTAAGGATATTTTAAATAAACTGTAATGCGGCTTCACTGGCGTTTTTACGTTATTTTAAGAATGCGGTTCAGCCAATAAGAATCAAGAAGCAGTTCATTAGTTTATGAACTCATGTCCTACCTGTCGGTGTCGGGACGCTCCTGCGCCGGCAGAGCCAGCAGCTGCTGGAGGGAAACCAGGCTGATGCAATACACAGTAAGCGGGAGAAAGCACCGCATCTCCGGGCCAACGTCCACTTTACACCCTCTCCGGGAAGGAGGGGGCGACCACACGGACCGGCCGAAGTTTAAATCCCAAGAGTGGGAAAAAAAAAGAAATAAAAAATAGAGAGGTGGAAAAAATGCTAAATGTTCCCAAGAGGTTGATGCCGGGTTCAGATATCCAAGCTTTAAAACAGTTGAGATTGATGATGAAAACCTTTTTTTTTTTTTTTTTTGGGGGGGGGGGGGGAGAGAGCACAAGTGATAAAAATCAATTAAACCTGTTGCTCAAAGAAATAAAGAAAAAAGTAGCAGAGAGAGTAAAATAACAGCTAAATACATCAAGTTCATCAAGTCAGACACTTTTTTAACACTTTCTGAAATAAAAGAAAATCCACATTATTCTTCCTCAAAACCACTACTTATAAACCTCTACCTCAGACTTGACTGAAAATGTCCAGAACCTCAACATAGAATGCACATACTTATTGCATTTGTTTTAAATATATTTACTCATTAGATATGTTAAGATAAGTCTTACCTTCTTGGTATTCACAGCTCAGACTTTGGATTTAGTGTTGAGGATTTTTCTTTTCTTCCTCTTCCAATGAATCCAAACGTGTTGGTCAAGATCAAGTTCTCCAGTGTGAAGCTGAGTGCCTGCTGACATTGAGGGTTTAAATACTGAGTGGGAGGAGTTCAGTGACTGAACCGGCACGGTGGGCAATATCAGAGGGAAAGGTGCTGTAAAACCATTATCTCCAAATGATCAGAAGACATCCTGTATTACTATAACTGGAACTACTGTGGGAGGCTGTGACGTGGGTTTATTGCCACTATAAAGGCTTTACCAAAAACATCATAAATAAGGACTTTATTATTTCTTTGATCTATAAATAAAGTTAATCACAGGGTACGATTCATAAATTGTATCATTGAGCAGAAACATAATGATAGGTCTGATACAGCTTTTTAAAAATTAATGTTGTGTAAACAGGAGCCCAATACAAAACCGTTAATCTGCTATACGTGTTGTATGTTGTTATTGGTTACCGCGCCTGCTTACATGTGGATTGCTTTTATTATTTGTACTTAAATTAATACGACTGTAGAGGCAGCAAAATGTGTGCAGCACTAGTTAGACAAACTAGACCTACAGGCACAATGAAGCTAATCATATCATATCAAAGTGTATAAAACCATGTTGTAGGGGCGCTGGTGGTGTGCGTCCCATGTATCGAGGCTGTAGTCTTCCAAGCAGGCGGCCCGGGTTCAAATCCGACCTGTGGCTCCTTTCCCGCATGTCATTTCCTACTCTCTCTCTCTCTCCCTGACTTCCGACTCTATCCACTGTCCTGTCTCTCTAATAAAGGCACAAAATGCCCAAAAATAAATCTTAAAAAAAAACATATCGTACCGGACTGTACTGTAGTGTACATTACGGTATCGCTTCATTTAGTGCCGTGTTGCTGGTATATGGTATGGCATGGTGGTGCTGCGTCCTACAGCATGATATCTCATAGAATCTAGTTGTATCGCATCCTATTCTAGCCTTTACCGCCCCATACTGTTCATTTCCATTTTGCATTGTTTTTGACCGTACCTCATCATATCGTATCATATTGTATTGTAAAGTATTGTATCCGGTCATCATATCCGATGTAATCGTATCACATCATATCAGATTGTAAATTGGCATATCATATTGTTTCATACTGTGCCCAACCACATGATATCATGTCCAACGTACCGCCCCATACTGTACATTGGTGTATTAAATTGTATGTTTTTTACCGTACCTCATCTCATTATTGTATCCTATTGTATTGTATCATACCTGATCTAATCGGATCATATCGTATCATCCAGAATTGTATCGCATTGTAATGAAAAGTGGTGTATCAGAGCGTTTTGCAGCGTACTCTGGCGTGTCACACTGAATCCTATCAACTTGTATCGTATCCTTTCATAACCTCCTGTATTGTATCACATATATGAATATAATAGTGACTCATGAGATGTGAATATTCTCTTTGAAGTCGTTATTCAGCTCCTTTAAGTCCCATCAGGAATTCCACAGTTTGCTCCAAATGTTCAGTAAACTTTCTATAATCAACAAACAGCTGTTTAGCCGTACGTATAGGGGAGACCGGGGTCGGTTATCACGCTAATCTTATCCCCTGATAATGCATCATCGCCATCCTACATTCAAGGGAAGCTTATAAGGACAAAGGCTTCAAATTGGTGTCCCATTTGAACTCATTTAAAAGGTGTTTAATTGTTAAATTCTTCCTCCTTCACACCAACATGAAAACTGAGGCTACACATTGAGAATGTACCATCTCTCCTGTGTTAAATCAGCGTTTTTGTGGCCTTAATAAGCCAAACACAGCGCAACATGTTTGATATCAACATGGCAAAACAGCGCCCCCCCTGTAGGGCTAAAGTAAGCACTACAAATACCACCCTCGATCTCTTGTACTTTATGCTATCGTGATCAACCCTTTTTCACAAGAAGTAGTCCACATTTCTGTGAATTTTCTTGAGCATCATGTTGTTTTTGACCAAACCCTCCATGTCCCTTTTCTTATCACCACTGTCAGCCAAATGTGTGACACAGATAAAAAAAAAAGGGATGATTCTTTGCTGAACTTTTTGTCAAGTCAGTGACACTTCATTGATAAACTCCCGAAGCTGAATGTTTTAAACAGTCTTAGAAAACCTCCACTTTCATTTGTGTTTGGGCTTCTGTTATAAAGGAAACATTGCAGGTATTCGGCAGGTCCCAACATGCGTCTTACAACTCAGTCTAATGACTCAGATGAATCAACTTATTTCATCTCATTAGTGAGGATTCTTTTGCACCGCGTCCAAGTCTCCTCCTTCCTCTCTAACTCCATTGACTGTTGTAGTAACACAGACTAGTTAAACATAAACCTGATCCTAATGCTGTTACGCAACTTTCATTTCTCAGAAGGCATGTGAGCAGGTTGTCAACAGTGGACTTTCCTGGTACTTTTACTGCATCCATGTGCACAAAACACAACAACAACAACAACAACAACAACAACAACAACAGCAACAACAGAGGCAGGAGGGGCCAAACTTGACGCCATGAACAGGGGACCCTTGAAAGAGAAGATTTCGTATTGGGCCCCTTCAAAGCAGTCTCAGTCAACTCTGTGACATTAGCATAATAACCCCCCCTCCATTACACAAATGACCCCTTAAAAGCTTCCAAAAAAAATGTATTCAGACCAGATGTTTTAAACGATATATCTTTTTATTTTAATCATTAACAGGTTTGTAGGAAAAGAATGGATCCATTAAAAAGTGGAAGCAAACTCCTGCACCTTGTCTCAGTTTTTAATTTAGACATTATAATCATTATCTTTGGATATGAAGCTAGTACCGTATTGAAGTTTAAAATCATGCTACCCTGACTTCTTCAAAAAACAAACAACTACTTTGTGTTACACCCTGAAAAGTCTATTACACTTAAAGGAGCAGTATGTAACTGTGACACCTAGTGTTCAAAACAGGTACTGCAGTCTAAATTCTAAACATCATAGAGAGCTGTCTCCCCCCGCCCCCTCTTCTCTAGAGTCGATGCTAACGTGGGTTACCATGTGGTGGACACTGAAGCTTCAGTGTTTATCCAGCTCTGCATGGGTCTGTAAACCTTTCTGTGTTCTAACCTCTCTCCATTTTTCAAAAGCATCTCCAATTGATCCTAGTTTGAGCACGTTTCTGCTCATGGAGCTTATTAGAAACATGCAGAGGCTTTTTAGGTCGGGTACAATCACTTCTATCTGAACCACTTCTCTTGCCCGCTTCCATCGCTGCAACACCTGTTGGTTTGACCTGATAACTGCTCTCATATCTGGCAAACCGAGGGGTGTGTGGGGCAGGTGCCTTAAAAGCGTCTACCTTCTCTGGTGTAAACAAATCCAGAGCATTCAGGACCAGAATCTAAAGTTAGAAGGAGGACATACTGGCTGCTGCATTGTTGTCAGAGAAGCCAGCACTTCAAAATAGCATGTTTCCTTAATGTCTGATCATATAGTAAGCTCACTTTACCTTTCTAGGCCCAATAAGCGCCCCTCCCTCCACTGGAGCCCTGGGTAGTCAGTCCCACTCCCCCCCCCCACCCCCACTACTACACCTATGGCCATGAGGAGATTTAGGATGTAATGTTTGTCTTTTTGGTGACGCAACACCATTTCATGGAAGTACATAAATGTCAGTAAGCCTGCAACAGAAAGCTGCTCATGCAGGAGGTGTAATAGCAAGAATCTGAACCCAGAACAAACATGCAAACCTTCATTTGATCCTCTTATTCTGCATTGACGAGCAGTCAACTACATGCAGTCAAATCAGTTTAACAGTTGCATGCTGCTACTTTAAAGACAATTTTGTTTTTTTAGGGAGACTGGGAGCAGGGACGGCTGTGGCTCAGTTGGTAGAGTTGTTACCTTTCAACCAGAAGGTCAACGGTTCAATCCTCACGATGTGGCTGTGTCCTCAGGCAAAATGCTTAACCCTGCATTGCTCAAGCTCCTTCAGTGGCTTACTCTCAGATGTAAAAGTGTCTGCTAAGGGAAATGTAAATTGTAAAAGATTGAAGTAGCTGAGTAACTCTTGGTTTCATTCTGTTTTCTTTACTGAAACTACAAACTATTTTTTTTTTTTGTATTTTATTTTTCGAAAATGAACACAATGTGATAAAACGAAAAGACATACATAAGCATACTATAAAAACAAAAACAAAACAATCAAACAAACCAGTAACATCAAAACACCAGTCCAAATTCATATGTCATGGGTATATAAAGCATCCCACTTAAAAAATAATAACACTAGTATATAAATAACTGCAAACTGTTTAGGTCTTCAAAAAAGAAAGAAAGGAAAGGAAGGTGTTGTCTAAATGTTTCTGTTGTAGTTTCATAATAAAAAATCCAGATTGCTTTCAACAAAAGTGTAACACAACAGTTTTGTCCACTTAAGCAGCTGTGATGAGATACTTCGGAGTAGGTCAAGTTAATCTGTCAGGGCTGCTCCTGTGGGAAAATATTTTGCCGCGATGTTACATAAACTCAGTTTGACACAACCCGTCAACTTCCTTGAGGTCATGTTTTTCTCTTCGATCATTTATTTATAGAATTTTGTCACTTCCTGTTTTACTTTGTACTTTCCCTTGTTTCTGCCCCTTTGTTTTCCCGCCTTGTGCACCTTCACCCTGATTGTGCTCACCTCTGTCTCGTTACCCCTGATTGTCTGTGTATTCTCTGTGTAAATAAATCATGACAGTGTGAAGGTATAACCAACTTTTTATAAGAGTGTGTTTATGATAATATAGACCCCTGCAGTCTGAGATGTTTCTGCAGTCATGCTTCTCATGCAAATTGTAATGTGTCCTGTAATACTGATATATGTCCACAGTTTGAAGAAGTAGTTATGATTAACAGTGGTCTAAAATGTTCAACTACAAATCAGCTTTTGCATCAGTCGTGCTGTCCTCAAACTTTGCACCAACGTTCAGTGAGATAAAACGAGTTGAAAGGAACGAAACCTGCCCCAAGTTTCTGCACAGCCGCTGGTTAGGTTTGGAGCCAAAGAAGTTTTCTAACTCATTGAAAACAATAAACATCACAAA